TCCCTCCCTCTCTCTCTCTCTCTCTCTCCTAGCTCCCTCCTGTACAAAAAAATTTAAAATACTGTTAAAATATACTCAGGATAGCACCTGAGAGTAGTTCTTCAAGGGACTGAAAGAATGGAAATTCATCCACCTGGCTTCCCTCAGTCCCTTGACTCCCACTGGGCAGAGTGTATCCATGAGAATTTGATTCCTGTGTACCCTCAGATTGTGTTTTTCTGGCAGCTCTAATCTTAGAAGCTATAATCCCCTTGCCGACTTGTTTGGCCACCATGCCGGTGGGGCAGTTGGACTGTCAGTTGGTGTTGTGCCTGGAGTCCCGCCATTACTGATTGGCATCAGCAGCTCTCTGGTTCCACTGTAGGTACAGTGAGAGCCATGATCACATTTTTCATGCTATGAAAAAAGCAAGCACTAAAAGTTGGGTGAGGGGGGATGACAGGCAACGTCTCATGGAGTTAATGACTTCATACAACAAATTCGCTACACCATGGTTTTAAATGGTACTCATTAAAGATGTTTGATGCTATTAGGTTCCTTCTGTAGACCACAAATAATGAGAAGCTAGGAAGAGTGGGTCATAATATAAACAGGAATTATAGAATATTCATATTGTTGGAATGAAATGAGAGATAATTATACAACATTAAAAGATGCATACTTTGTCTAATGAAACTTCAGGGAAAACACTAGCATATGTCATATACGGAGACATAAAAATTAAAGGACTAACTTTTCAAGAAGAAAATGTCAAGTATAATGAAGAGAAAATGCAAAAAATCAAATTAGAGAGATGCCACACCTAACAGAAAATTTTGAAAGAATGAAACAAGGCAAAGCTGAGTACTTTCAACTCACAATCTCAAACCATGTTGCTCTGGCATTATCTGGTCTTGAGAAATTCTGTAGTTCCATTGTGGCTATGAGCAGGACAGAAGAAGCATTTTTGTATCAAATGGGAATTGTGTTCCAGGCAATGCAGCGGAATTTACTTGACTGGATTTTAGTGAAGAAAATTTCCACTATTCCAATGAACAGCCACCAGATCCATGAGAAATGTCAGCATTGTGCAGAAGATGTCAGATAAATCCCTTTCTTACTCTTTGCAAAAGGGAAACCTGAGTTTAGAATCAGCAGAGAGCTGTGACTGCACGCGTGTATCCTGCAGCACTATGCTTTATTTAGTTTTGGAAAACCACATCTTATTCCAGGTTTTTAACTGCTTACAGTGCATGGATAATTTTCTCCTACATTACTGTGAATTTTCATTAGATCATTAAGCTTTTTATTTCAATAGTTCTGAAGCTCAGGCTCTGAGCACACACCCATGGGTCTACTGAGAAAGTTAGTCATTAAAGTAAAACCAGCTTGAGTTGGGAAACTGCATTTATATTGAACTATGTGGTTACTGGGCTACTGCCGCAACACAGAGCAAGAAAAGAAAAGCTTATGACTGATAAAGAAAGTGGGCTCCTGCTGCTGCCTTCCATTAACAAACAATTTACTGGCTGAGTGGCGCTCAGAGGATCATGGCTTTTTTATGCGTGATCCATCCATCTTAGGGAAGATAAAATGTACTGCTGGGACATCAAGCTAACAAGTTCATGGGTTCATGGATTAATGCTCTTTCTATTACAAGACGTGATGTTATTAATCAGAAGCCAAGGTGTATTTGGGTTTCAAAGGAAAAAAATAGTCAAGTAGTGAGTATCTTTTTCTTGTTTTATATATGTATATGTACATATATATATATATATGTATAATTTACTTATTTGTGAGGTAGAGTTACAAACAGAGAGAGAGAGAGAGAGAGAGAGAGAGAGAAGACTTCCATTCGCTGGTTCATTCCCCAAATGGCCACAGCAGCCAGAGCTGGGCTGGTCCAAAGCCAGGAAGCTGGGAGCTTCTTCCACATCTCCCACATGAGTTCCAAGAACTTGAGGCAGCTTTCTACTGCTTTCCTGGGCCAAGTAGAGGGCTGGAACAGAAGAGGGGCAGCCGGGAGAGGAACCTGCACCCATATGGGATGCTGGCGCCACAGGCAGAGGCTTAGCCCACTACACCAAAGCACCGATCCCAAGAATCCTTTTTTCTTCATATCAAAACATAAAATAGGTTCCCCATCAATAATAGCATGCATTATTTTGTACAGAGAATACATTTACTTCTTTTTTTAATTTTTATATATTTTTTTAACTTTTATTTAATGAATATAAATTTCCAAAGTATGGCTTATGGATTACAATGGCTTCCCCTCCATAACGTCCCTCCCACCCGCAACCCTCCCCTTTACCATTCCCTCTCCCCTTCCATTCACATGAGGATTCATTTTCAATTCTCTTTATATACAGAAGATCAGTTTAGCATACATTAAGTAAAGATTTCAACAGTTTGCTCCCACACAGAAACATAAAGTGAAAAATAATAGATGATTTTTTTAAATGATGATGAAATCAGATCGGACCTATTGTCATGTTTAATCCCAGTGAGAGTCAAGTTGGGAATTGCTAATTTCTTCTCTCTTTTTTTTTTTTTACAGAAGATCAGTTTAGTATACATTAAGTAAAGATTTCAACAGTTTGCACCCCCATAGAAACACAAAGTGAAATATACTGTTTGAGTACTCGTTATAGCATTAAGCCTCAATGTACAGCACATTAAGGACAGAGATCCTACATGAGGAGTAAGTGCACAGTGACTCCTGTTGTTGACTTTACAAATTGACACTCTTGTTTATGGCATCAGTAATCTCCCTATGCACCAGTCATGAGTTTCCAAGGCTATGGAAGCCCCTTGAGTTCTCCGACTCTTATCTTGTTTAGACAAGGTCATAGTCAAAGTGGAGGTTCTCTCCTCCCTTCAGAGAGAGGTACCTCCTTCTTTGAAGACCTCCTTCTTTGAAGAGAATACATTTACTTCTTAACTTTCACTTCAGTGTATCGTGATAATTGTTCCAGGTTGCAATTAATCATTATTGCTAAGCTTTTGCTGTGCCTAACTTGTAAATAAACTTTGTCACGGATATTTATATATAGAATAGCTCTTGGTGCATACTGTATATAGGGTTCAGTACTAGCTGCTGTATAAGGCATTTTCTGGGGATATTTCAACATTTCTTCCAGCATGGAACATCTGCACAAACAAGCTCTTGACCTTGTCATGCCTCCACATTAACAGCTGGGATGGATTACAGAAAGGGATCCCCAAAGCTTGCAGCCACTCCTGTCTGTGGAGCTTCAAGAACTCTGAGCTGGGTGAGGTCCTATGCTGATGACCAACCCTCCTGAGGAGACCCGAGAACCCTGGCAGTGAGACCAAGCCCTGTGTTTGGCTACATAAGCCTTGAGTACAGCTTCCTGTTGACTAAGTCAGAGGTTGAAATGCCACAGACTCTGGATGTTAACACAGATTTTTGGCAGATGCTGGAGAATAAACATTTCTTCATTTCCTGTATGTCCTTTGGAAAATTTCTGAAGACATTCAGTAGGGTTTAAACCTGAATTAGTCAAGGTTCTCCAGGGGAACAAAGCCAGTGTGTGTGTGCGTGTGTGTGTGTGTGTGTGTGTGTGTGTTTAGAGAGAGAGACAGAACTTAAGGAACTGGGTCATGCGACTGTGGAGGCCAGTGAGTCTACAGCCAGCCTGGAAGCCCAGAGCACAGAGGTAGCTCACATCTGAAGGCCATGTGTGGGTACATTTCCTCCTTCCTCTGGGGAGGTCGGTATTGTTTTGTTTTTCTAGCTAAGGCCTGCAATTGGTTTGATGCAGTAAACTCATAACCTGCAAACTAACCTGCCTAGCTGTCTACTGATAGGGCTGTTAATTTCATCTAAATATTTCAATACATTCCTAGAATTATATCTATGAACTATATTATATCTGTTAAAAGCTAATTTAAAAATTAAAAAACCCACATCTCTATAGATAGATGAATAGGAATGTTTAATAGAACATTTAAACAAATAGCCAGGTATTGTGACTAGCCAAACTGACACAACATTAACCATAAATACTTATCAGTTTCAACAAAATCTTCCATCACTTGTGTATTGGTACCTTGGCAGAGATGGCTGCAACCCTGACTACTGGCCACCTCCCCATATCCTGTCCATGTTTCTACCAATAGATGTGCTCAGAACACGATCTTCTAGTAGAGCCAGTCTCCTTCCATGGCCTCCTCTCGGAATGAAATTTCCATGGAAAAGAAAGCAGGGGGCTGGCGCTGTGGCATAGCTGGTAAAGCCATCTTCTGAAGTGCCAGCATCCCATATGGGGCCAGTTCAAGTCCCGGCTGCTCCACTTCAGATCCAGCTCTCTGCTATGGCCTGGGAAAGCAGTAGAAGATGAGCCAAGCCCTTGGGCCCCTGCACCCATGTGCGAGACCTGGAAGAAGCTCCTGGCTCCTGGCTTTGGATCCATGCAGCTTCTGGCCATGTGGCCAATTTGGGAGTGAACCAGCAGATGGAAGACTTTCTCTCTCTCTCTCTCTCTCTCTCTTTCTGCCTCTGCCTCTCCTTCTCTCTCTGTGAAATTCTGACTTTCAAATAAATAAATAAATCTAAAAAAAAAAAAAAAGAAAGCAGAAGCTGACAGTCATCTCAAAATCCAAGCCTAGAATTAGGCCAGTATAGTTTCAAGCCTGCCTAGATTCCAGTGTCTGGAGGACCTGAGCCAAATTCCTGGATGGGGACCGGTGACATGGCTGCACTCAGAAGACAAAGTACACGCAGGTTTACTGCAGGAGAAGCCGAGATTCCAGTTCAATTTAAAAAATGCACAAGATTAGTAGTTCTATATCAACAAGCAGAAATTACATAAAGTTTGATGCTTGCACTTGGCAGGTAGATGAAGCATATTCTACAAGTGTTCATTTTGTCTTCTTCATTGGCTATAGCATTTAGCCATGAACATAATTTATAAGGGGAATTCAAAGCTAATGTTATTATCTCCTGTAATCGTAACACACACCTCCTCACCAGGATACTTCTCTTATTTATTCAGAACTAGCAAATCCCCGACCATCTACATTCCATAATCTCAGCACTTGATGAAATTGATGCCTTCGTCAAACAAGCCACCGGTGGACTGGGGCAGCAGGTGGTGACCAGGGTGAGTGACTGCCATTTGCAACATTGGTTGGCATTTCCTAAGAACACAGGAGTAGAAACCAAACATAAAAGGCATTTGAGAGGAATCATGTTCTACAGCTTCCACTGAGACACTTCCTGACACCACATTGTAAGCAGTAGCAGGTGCTTTATTCCTCAATACACAGCACGATATGTTATGTTCCTCATATTCAATGGCAGGTGACAAGCCTCTTTGTGTGTGTAGACACATGTGAGCTATTTACATTTGCATAGTGCCTGTGAACACCTGGGAGGCCTGTGACATATACTAATTGCAAAGCAAAGTTTGATAGTTATTGAAAACTTTGCAAAAAATAAAGCAACCATGTAACAAGGTACCAGGCCAGAATGCACTGACTCTCCTACATTCAATCCCTTCAATTATTTATTTCTCCTGATAATTGTTGGGTCTTTTGTAATTTTGAAAAATGTAAAAGTAACCAGCTGGATTCATTTGTGAAATCCTTGGGAGAAATATTTTCTAAAGGTAAAATGGTTCTGAAAGATGCCTTGATGTAAGAAAAGTATAGAAATTGAAGAAATGTTAACATGGGCTCTTCCATAGAGGTGGTTGAAGATCAAATTCAGTCCAAGTGAATCATATTTAGGCCGGTGCTGTGGCTCAATAGGCTAATCCTCCCCCTGTGGCACCAGCACATAGGGTTCTAGTCCCGGTCGGGGCGCCGGATTCTGTCTCAGTTGCTCCTCTTCCAGTCCAGCTCTCTGCTTTGGCCAGGAGTGCAGTGGAGGATGGCCCAAGTGCTTGGGTCCCTGTACCCCATGGGAGACCAGGAGAGGCACCTGGCTCCTGGCTTCGGATCAGCGTGATGCGCCGGCTGCAGCGGGCTAGACGGAGCGGCCATTGCGGGGTGAACCAATGGAAAAAAGGAAGACTTTTCTCTCTGTCTCTCTCTCTCTCACTGTCCACTCTGCCTGTCAAAAAATTAATTAATTAATTAAAAAGTGAATCATATTGCTACACTGAATTCTCAATCACTGTGCTTCCATCATTGCATAAGCTGCAGCTACATGGAATGATGTATCTCCACGGGAAAGGGGCCAAAGTTGTGAATGTTGGTAATAGACAGGACTGTGTGTGTGTGTGTGTGTTTTTTTTTTTTTAAGATTTATTTATTTCACTTGAAGTCAGAGTTACACAGAGAAGCAGAGAGAGAGAGAGAGAGAGAGAGAGAGAGGTCTTCATCCTCTGGTTAACTCCCCAGTTGGCCACAAGGGCCAGAGCAGTGCTGACCTGAAGCCAGGAGCCAGGAGCTTCCTCTGGATCTCCCACATGGGTGCAGGGGCCTAGGGGCTTGGGCCATCTTCCACTGCTCTCCCAGACCACAGCAGAGAGCTGGATGGGAAGTGGAGCAGCCGGGACTCAAACCGGCGCCCATATGGGACGCTGGCACTGCAGGCGGCGGCCTTACCCACTACGCCACAGCGCGGGCCCCAGTATTAAGTTATTGACTAAAACTAAGGTGTTTATTTTCCACAAGAGTAGAAATCTTGCTAAAAATCATTTTAAAAGTCAACATGTTTCCTTGGCAAAGGCATAACTAGTTTGTATGATATGAATATGTGTTTCAAGTTAGGAGTTAAACTGGCTGGGTTTACCCAAAAGTTACACAGAAGTACCAGTAACTTCTTCCAGGTTCCCATCTCCCACATAGATATTTCACTATCTGTTTCTTACTTTGTGTTCAAACCTCTCTTCTTTTTTAAAAATATTTCTTTATTTTTTGAAAGTCAGAGTTACACAGAGAGGCAGAGGCAGAGAGAGAGAGAGAGAGAGGTCTTCCATTCACTGCTTCACTCCCCAATTGGCCGCAACAGCCAGAGCTGTGCCAATCTGGAGCCAGGAGGCCGGAGCCTCCTCTGGGTCTCCCATGTGGGTGTAGGGACCCAAGGACCCGGGCCATCCTCTACTGCCTTCCCAGGCCATAGCAGAGAGCTGAATTAGAAGTGGATCATCGGCCGGCGCCGTGGCTCAGTAGGATACTCCGCCTTGCGGCGCCGGCACACCGGGTTCTAGTCCCGGTTGGGGCGCCGGATTCTGTCCCAGTTGCCCCTCTTCCAGGCGAGCTCTCTGCTGTGGCCCAGGAGTGCAGTGGAGGATGGCCCAAGTCCTTGGGCCCTGCATCCCATTGGAGACCAGGATAAGTACCTGGCTCCTGCCATCGGATCAGCGCGGTGCGCTGGCCGCAGCGCGCCAGCCGCGGCGGCCACTGGAAGGTGAACCAGCGGCAAAGGAAGACCTTTCTCTCTGTCTCTCTCTCTCACTGTCCACTCTGCCTGTCAAAAAAAAAAAAAAAAAAGTGGATCATCCAGGACCAGAACTGGCACCCACACCGCTGCACCACAGCACTGGCTCCACCTATCTTCTTTCTATTCACCTGCCACTGTTCAAGGTAAAGTAATCTTAGATTTTACCTAAATTACTGCATTGGAGGTTGGTGCTGTGGTGCAGCAGGTTAATGCCCTGGCCTGAAGCGCTGGCATCCCATATGGGTGCCGATTTGAGACACAGCCATTCCACTTCCTATCCAGCTCTCTGTTATGGCCTAGGAAAGCAGTAGAAGATGGCCCAGGTCCTTGGGCCCCTGCACCCATGTGGGAGACCTGGAGGAGGCTCCTGGCTCCTGGCTCCTGGCTCCTGGCTCCTTGCTACTGGCTTCAGAACTGCGCAGCTCCTGCCATTGCGGCCAACTGGGGAGTGAACCAGCATAAGGAAGACCTCTCTCTCTCTCTCTCTCTCTCTCTCTCTCTCTCTCTCTGCTTCTCATTCTCTCTCTGTGTAAATCTGACTTTCAAACAAAATAAATCTAAAATAAATAAATAAATAAATTACTGCATCGAACATCCTAACTAGATTCTTCACTCTAGTCTTGATCTCTTCTGGTTACAGAGCGACAACTCTGAAGTCACTCTCCTGCTTTCTACAACAAAAGACCAAAGTCTGTGTGACTTTGCCAGACCTTCATGATTGGTAATGGCACCGAGCCTATAGATCAATTTGGAATAAATTGCCAGCCTAACAATGTTAAATCTTCCAATTCACTAATATGGCATGTATTTCTATTTTTTTAAGATTTACTTATTTATTTGAAAGTTTGAGTTACAGAGAGATAGAGAATCATCCATCTGCTGGTTCACTCCCCAGATATCTTTCTGTTTTTTAAAGTCATGTTTAATTTCTCTCAGAGTCGTTTTGTAGATGTCAGTGTAGAAGTCTTCATCATATGTTATATTCTTCCTATGTGTTTTTTTTTATTTTGTCACCTATGATAGGTCGTATTACTGTTAAGTATTGGGGCCAGCACTGTGGCACAGTTAAGCCATTTGACTCCAGGGCTTCCAGCCCATTTTGGCGCCGGCTCACGTCTCAGCCACTCCACTTTCTGTCCAGTTCCCCGATAATGTGCCTGGAAAAGCAGTAGAAGATGGCCCAAGTGCTGGGGCCCCTGTACCCACTTGGGCGACCCAGACAAAGCTGCTGGCTCCTGGCTTTGGCCCGGCCTAGCAGGACTGTTTTAAGCAAGCTTTGGCATTTATGAATCATGAAATCTTGAATTAACTATCTGTCTCAGCTTCTTCTACAATGGTATGGATCATGTGTACACATCACATATGACACAGGATGGATGCTCAATAAATATGATTTAACTACCCAGAATAAACTATTTTTTATGTTTTAAGCTAAAAATAAATATCCTTAAATGCTTGATAACACTATGCTATTTCTCAATCTTGATCATCTTTTTTTGCAGCAACAAATAAGCACACTCAGTACTTTTCACTACCAGTTCTGTGATTTAGGTCACGTAGAGGTTAGGATTTATAAATACACTGGTAGGTGATACCGATTTCAGCATAAAAATTATGCTTGATAGACTGTAGCCTATGCCACACACTTGTTCCTGTGGGCATCACTCTCCTCTAGTGTGCACGTCTTTCTCCATGTACATCAAAGCACAGCACAGGCTGCCTGCGCCATGCGGCTGTGAGCCCTGGAGGCCAACCTTGACCAAACCTCGGACCTCCAGCCACTGCTTGGCTTCAGTCAGGAGGTGCAAAGGTGGAGAAATTAGTATTTCTCCCTGGCTCCCTGCTCACTCCTGAGGCAGGAGCCGTATCATTTTTTTTCCAAAGGACTCCTCCTGTCCCCTCTACCAGTTCACACAACTTCTTCATGTCTGTGGGTTTCAGAGGATTCTCATCTGAAGAAAGTATTCACTTTCTGTATATCTGTTCAAGTATAAAAAAATGTAAACAGCATTGTCAGCTCACAATCCATCCTGGAAGAGATAGTCTGGTGCATTTGGCTTGAAATGTATGATGTGTTGATGCTGGATTTTAAAAAATCTATAAAATATACAATTCCATAATTTCAAAACTATGACAGAGAGAATGAGGAAGCAGGAGAAGAAGAAAATAAATTAGAAAGGAAAAATGGAAACCTTTTTCAATAGAATAATTCCAGTTAATAATAGATAAATAATTAAATTATCATTCCATAGTGTCAACTCCTGTCTTATTTGGGCTGCTATGAAAAGTCGTAAACAGTGTGGCTTATAAACAGAAGCTTCTCACCATTATGAGAAGTTTGAGATCAGAGGGCTGGCAGATTTCATGTCTGGTGAGGGCCCTTTTCTGTTTGTCATTGTGTCTTCACATAGTGGAAAGGGTATCTGAGTTTCTCATTACATTAATGAGTGCCCTACCCTCAGAACCTAATGGTCTCCCACACCTTGCAACACCATCACCCTGAGAGGTGACCGTCCAGACCAAGATGTTTGGGAACACACACATTTGGGTCTAGCATGCCCAAACAATAATAACTGAATCCATTAAGAATCTTCATCGACCCAGTGGAAAGAACAGGCCTTCAAAGAAGGAGGTACCTTTCTCTGAAGAGAGGAGAGAACCTCCACTTTGACTATGACCTTGTCTAAACAAGATAAGAGTCGGAGAACTCAAGGGGCTTCCATAGCCTTGGAAACTCATGACTGGAGCATAGGGAGATTACTGAGGCCATAGACAGGAGTGTCAATTGGTAAAGTCAACAACAGGAGTCACTGTGCACTTACTCCTCATGTAGGATCTCTGTCCTTAATGTGCTGTACATTGAGGCTTAATGCTATAACGAGTACTCAAACAGTATATTTCACTTTGTGTTTCTATGGGGGTGCAAACTGTTGAAATCTTTACTTAATGCATACTAAACTGATCTTCTGTAAAAAAAAAAAAAAAAAGAAATTATCAATTCCCAACTTGACTCTCACTGGGATTAAACATGACAATAGGTCTGATCTGATTTCATCATCATTTAAAAAAAATCATCTATTATTTTTCACTTTATGTTTCTGTGTGGGAGCAAACTGTTGAAATCCTTACTTAACATATACTAAGCTGATCTTTTGTATATTAAGATAATCGAAAATGAATCTTGATGTGAATGGAAGGGGAGAGGGAGTGGGAAAGGGGAGGGTTGTGGGTGGGAGGGACGGTATGGGGGGGAAGCCATTGTAATCCATAAGTCGTACTTTGGAAATTTATATTCATTAAATAAAAGTTAAAAAAAATAAAATAAAATAACATTTCAACTCTTAAAAAAAAATCTTCATCGAGGGGTGGGCATTGTAATACAGTATTTATACTGATTCTTGGGACATCCATATCCCAGACCTGAGTGACTGGGATCGAGTCACACTTCTGCTTCTTATATAGCTGCCTGCTAATGTGCTTGGAGTCAGCAAATGATGTTGGAAGTACTCAGGTTCCTGCCACCATGCGGGATTCCAGAATGGAGTTCTTGGCTCCTGGCTTTGGCCTGGCTCAACCCCAACAATTGTGGAAAATGAGAGTGAAACAGCAGATTGAAGATCTCTCTCTCTCTAGAACTTCCTCACTGCAACTCTGCCTTTCAAAAAAATAAATAAATAAAATTTTAAAAGAAAGCATTATTATTGAATGTCAAACCTATCCTTACAACATATTCAAATTATCTCAAACTATTTTCCACTGTATTACTGAATTATTAAAGGATAATTTTCCCTTAAATTAGATATATCTGGTTCTTAATCACGTAATCAAACAGCATCAGCACTAGCACAACATCCTTATAGTCTTTGCTGTTAATGGGAATAAATACAACTAACTTGTGAAGTGTTTTTACAAAAAATTAAAAATTTTAACCATTTGGAAACAATTGGAAAACAATTAGAAAATATGTGCTTTGGAATATTAAAAATATCAGTGATGAAAGATCAAAAATTGACACAAAGCCTCTTCTAGATTAGGACAAAGGAAAGACATGGCAGTGGAGATCCATTAAATTGGATTGTAGTTGGTGTGAAAATTACTAGCTATGAAAAAATGGATAAATTTAAATATGGATTAAATTCAGATAATATCCTTGAGTTAATATAATATGTTCTGGTTGTAATGAAGGCACTGTTGTTATGTAAGAAATGTTTATTATTAAGGAAGACTGAATAAACTTAAATGTTCAAAACCAAAGCAAATTACTTTTTTTTTTTTTGACAGGCAGAGTGGACAGTGAGAGAGAGAGACAGAGAGAAAGGTCTTCCTTTGCCATTGGTTCACCCTCCAATGGCCGCCGCGGCCAGCACACTGCAGCCAGCGCACCGCGCTGATCTGATGGCAGGAGCCAGGTACTTCTCCTGGTCTCCCATGGGGTGCAGGGCTCAAACACTTGGGCCATCCTCCACTGCACTCCTGGGCCACAGCAGAGAGCTGACCTGGAAGAGGGGCAACTGGGACAGAATCCAGCACCCCAAACCAGGACTAGAACCTGGTGTGCCGGTGCTGCAAGGCGGAGGATTAGCCTAGTGAGCCGCAGTGCCGGCCAGCAAATTACTTTCAAATGGTTCAATCACAACACAGCAGCAGGACACAGATGGAAAAACATGTGTGTAGTGTCAGCTTTCCATTATCTTAACAGGATTCTTGACACGGGCTAAGAATGAAGAAAAGAGGTTAATGTAGCTCATACTTCCCCATCTTCCTCCTCAGTCTCTGATTAGTTTCTTCTGGAAGCACACCCAGGATGCACCATTCTAAGGCAAACCTTCATCTTAGTGTTGCTGTGGGTGGGGGAGCAGGAAACGCCGGCCTAGCACAGCTCTAAAGTTAGCATCCCTGTTCATTTCTTCCCCAAGGAGACATCCCTGAGTGTCTTCCCAAGGACCATTTAATTGTCTGAGTAAACATTTAATGAAAACAGAAGATCAATATAGCCATGGAGATTAGTATAAAATAATCAAATAAAGATAAGAAAACCTGATTAATATGCCAGTCATTGCTATCTCTATGACTTTTGAAGCCATTGTCATTTGCTCTAGAAGATAACAGATAATCTGAAGAAGGCATACAAACAACTCTCTTCTTCAGGCTTTGTCATATTTATATTTAACAGGAGGATTTTGTTTTACTGTTTTCAAGTTCTGTTTCCACCAGTCTTTCGGTTCTTAAAGCCCCATAGATTGTTATACAAATAACAAAGAAATCCAAATTAAATATATCCTATTTGACAAAAAAAAATAAGTGTGTAGGTAGCATGTCAATGGAGTCCACAGAAGAACTGTTTCTGAACAACCAACAAAGGTGTGCAGTTGAACAGCCCATACATGAACAGCCACATACATGAACAGCCACATACATGAACCAGGCAGCAGTCATGCTGAGCTTCCTGAACCTTCTTGTAAAAAAACAATTAATCTTTGCATGCATCAATCTCACACTCTGTCTTCAGGATGTAGGCTCACTGTTGTTTCAAATATGGCTTTTTCAAGCTTTGTTTTATATCTTTGTCAAAAAAATGGTTAAGAATGATATATTACTAAAGTTTTAATGATCTGTAATTATTTTAAATTTTACTGTAAATGAGCAAAATACATTCTTGCATTGGATTGTGGTTTATAGCCTTGTCTATATTCCAGCTAAACTATGGTCTTTTTACTTTCTACTTGTTGATCTGTTTATTTAGTGGAGCATTAAATCCTTATGTATAATGCAAATTAAAAGTGTTATCTCAATC